TTTTATTTGTTTATTTACTAGCTATACCCGGTGTGCTGTGCTACCCTAAAAGCAATATAAATAAGAAACCTACTTAACAATTTTGATGATTCTAACTACAATGGTTTTCCAGATATACAATTTGTTACATATGGGAGATTCCACGCAAATTATTGCAATTTCGCCAATTATTCCGAACGTTAATTAAGATTTTAATTTAATCTATGAAAAATTTGAATAATCTAATAGTTTCCAGATATACAAAATTTTGTATTTAATTCATATGGGAAGTGCCAAGCCCCCCATTGAAAGTCCGCCCGTTATTCTCTAAATGTTCTTCAGTAAAATTTGAAGATTCTAGCTCTAATAGTTTCTCAGATATACGAATTTTTCTATTTAATTCATATGGGAGCTCCAAGCCCCCCAGATGAAAGTCCGCCCTTTTTTCTCCAAAATGTTCAGATGAATATTAAAGTTGTTCGTGCAAAATTTGAAGAATTTAGTTATATTAGTTTCCCAGATAAACGAATTTTTGTATTTAATTCATATGGGAGGTTCCGCTCCCCTCATTGGTAGTCCCCCAGTTTATTACCCAAAATGTTTACATGGATGTTAAAGTTCTTCCAGAACAACATCATTTAAAGGGATCACAAAGAGATTGAAAAATATTACAAAAGTTTCACTTTGAAAACATTATTAGAAATTCTAATTTAGAATGTATGAAAACTCGCAACTCTAAAGGAAGACTATTCCTATTTTAGTGGTATTTTATGATTAAAATAAGTAAGGCAAATCATATGTCGTAAAAAAGCAAATTTCGGAAGTGGTCCGATCATTAGATTAATAAGAACGTCACCGTGATTTTCGGATTAGGGACTTAAATGTGGAATTGGATCAATAATATATATAATTTAAAGTATTTTTTTTTTAATTCTACCATAATTCTATCATAATGATAACTTTTGGAATGATGTATTAGCTATAAACTGATTTTCTGTAAGAGGGTTATATTGGCGGACCGATCCTCATAATTTTATTTTTCATAAATGTGGGTTTCGGTTCCTAAAAATGTTTATTTCGTCGACATCGACATTTGAAAGCCATTTATGTGCGTTTAAGTCATTTTCTGAAGAAGATTTCATTACATATTTTCGTTCCAACAAAAATTGTTTTATTATGGTATTATTAAGTACGTAGAAAACGTTAAAATCAATTATTGAAGGGGGCAGGGTCAACTATGGCCTATAGAGATTTCGATTGATATCGAGCCCTTTTTGCAAAATGGACGTAAGCGAGATAAATTTTCGTTCAATTAGGATACTGCGTGTTTAATTTTATGTTTATATATTCAATATTTTAGAAAATTCAAAAAGTACCAGTTAAAGAACGAAAAATTACCAGAAATACTCCAGTTTAAATTTTCATTCACTCAAGTCCCTGATTGCTTAGTTTTATGTTTTTAGGTTCATTATAAAAGAAAATCCAAATAGTACAAGTTGAAGAACGAAAAAGTACCAAAAAGTCCCGTTTTATATGTTCTCACTTACTCCATGTTCAATATTATAGAAATTTCAAAAAATACCTTTTGAAGAACGAAAAAGTACCAAAAAGTTCCCTTTTATATGTTATTGCTTAATCCGGGCTGTACATTCCTAAATTCATGTTTCTAGGTTCAATATTATAAAAAATTCAAAAAGTACCAGTCGAAGAACGAAAAATAAAAAACTCAAAAAGTACCTTTTGAAGAACGAAAAAGTACCAAAAAGTCCACTTTTATAGATTCTCAAGTGCTTAATTACATGTTTCTAAGTTCTAAGTCAAAAAAGTACCAGTTGCAACATCATATTGGGAGCCCGTTATTATGTATTCAAATGTATAAGTTAATAAACCAAAAACAATGTTTTATAAAAAAGTACCAAAAATAGGTACATTTTTCACCCCTTAAACGTCCGAATATCCAAAAAGTACTAAATTTATATTTTTATTTGTTCGTCAAGTTATGAAGGATTCAAAAATATTTTTTGAATGTTCTCTGGTTTAAAAGATACATGGGGTGCAAAAGAAGTACCAAATTACAGTTTCTACCCGTTAATTCCCCAAAGGGGCCGAATTTAAAAAAAGTACCAGACACCTGCCCGCTTATTTTTTAAATGAACGACGATAAGCTTTAAACTGTTTTTGTATCTTTTATAGTTTAGGAGATATGAGGTTACCGAATTTACCCGTTTTTACCATTTTTAACCCCCTAATCATTCGAATTTCCAAAAATCCCGTCTAAGTGGATCTATTTGGTGGGAGACCAACCTCTTGTCTAAATTTCAGCTCTTTAGCTAAAACCGTTTAGGCTCTACGATGATGAATCAGTCAGTCAGTCAGTAACGTTAGAATTTTATATATGTACTAGCTATACCCAGTGTGCTTCGCTACCCTCATCGTAATGGAATAAAATAAATATTATTGTAAATATATATATATCTGCAATATCAAAAAGTCCCCTATTTAAATTTATGTTTATAAATTCAATATTTTAGAAAACTCAAAAAGTACCAATGAAGTACGAAAAAGTAACAAAATATCTCTTTTATTTAATTTCATGTTCCTAAGTTCAATATTATAGAAAATTAAAAAAGTACCAGTTGAAGAACGAAAAATTACCAAAGGGTCCCCTTTTATAGATTCTCATTAACTCCGGGCTCCACATGGTTAATTTCATGTTATAAAAAACACAAAAAGTACCTTTTGAAGAACGAAAAATTACCAAAAAGTCCTCTTTTATATGTTCTCACTTACTCCGGGCTCTACGTACTTAATTTCATGTTTCTAGGTTCAATATTATAGAAAATTCAAAAAGTACCTTTTGAAGAACGAAAAAGTGCCGAAAAGTCCCCTTTTATAGGTTATCACTTAATCTTGGCTGTACTTGCTTAATTTCATGTTTCTAGGTTCAATTTAATAGAAAACTCAAAAAGTACCAGTCGAAGGACGAAAAAGTACCAAAAAGTCCCCTTTTATAGATTCTCATTTACTCCAGGCTCTACATGCTTAATTTCATGCTTCTAGGATCAATATTATAGAAAATTCAAAAAGTACCAGTCGAAAGACGAAAAAGTACCAAAAAGTCCCCTTTTATAGATTCTCATTTAATAAGGGCTCTACATGCTTAATTTTATGTTTCTAGGTTAAATTTTATAGAAAACTCAAAAAGTACCAGTCGAAGGACGAAAAAGTACCAAAAAGTCCCCTTTTATAGATTCTCATTAACTAAGGCCTCCGCATGCTTAATTTCATGTTTCTAGGTTAAATTTTATAGAAAACTCAAAAAGTACCAGCCAAAGGACGAAAAAGTACCAAAAAGTCTCATTTTATAGATTCTCATTTACTCCGAGCTCTACATGCTTAATTTCATGTTTCTAGGTTTAATTTTAAAGAAAACTCAAAAAAGTACCTGTGTAGAACGAAAAAGTAGCGAAAAGTCCCTTTATTATTAATTTCATGTTTCTATTTCAATATCATAGAAAACTCAAAAAGGACCAGTTGGAGAATGAAAAGTACCAAAAAATATCACTTGATACCGGGGTTCCAAATAACACCCCATTAGGATATTTAGTGTTTCTAAATTTAAAAATTTTATCTAAATTGGATCATTGTGGTTGAATAAAATCAAATTTCCCGTTTTTACCCCTTTTGGTACTTTTTCCTCCCCATTAACGAAATAAAAATTCTATTCCAAAAAGTTGCAACATCGTAGTGGGAGCCCGTTATTATGTATTCATATGTATAAGTTAATAAACCAAAAACAATGTTTTATGAAAAAAGTACCAAAAATAGGTACAATTTTAACCCCTTAAACGTCCGAATATCCAAAAAGTACTAAATTCATATTTTAATTTTTTCATTAAGTTATGAAGGAGTCAAAAATATTTTTTGAATGTGCACTGGTTTAAAAGATACATGGGGTGCGAAAAAAGTACCAAAATACAGTTTTTACCCGTTTATTCCCTAAAGGGGCCGAATTTTAAAAAAGTACCAGACACCTGTCCGTTTATTTTTTAAATGAACGGCGATAAGCTTTAAACTGCTTTTGTATCTTTTCTAGTTTAGGAGATATAAGGTTACCGAATTTACCCGTTTTTACCCTTTTTTACCCCCTAAACATTCGAATTTCCAAAAATTCCGTCTTAGTGGATCTATTTGGCGGGAGACCAACCTCCTGTCCAAATTTCAGCTCTTTAGCTTCAACCGTTTAGGCTGTGCGATGATGAATCAGTCAGTCAGTCAGTCAGTAACGTTAGAATTTTATATATATAGATTATGTATATAGATTTCGTGCATTGAATTATACTGTTAAAACATTGTAATGTTCGACTTGAATTCAAGTTTCGTTTTCACTGGAGAATGCTATTGAATTAAAGTGTATTTCAAGACTTGAAATTTGAATGTTTGACTGGAATTAAACTTGTTTTAAACTTTAATTCCAGCAAGAATGCTTATTTGGTATAGTGTGACAACTATAAGGGACCTAAAGTCGACATAAAGCCCACAATGGTTAGTACCAATATTTTGCCCAAATAACATCTACATACCTAGCTAGGTTATATCCTCTAGGTCCGTGAAGACATTCTCTACAAAGCTATAAATTTGTATAAAAGGCGGCTTAACAATTGTTTCTTGTAAATATTCGGCCACCATAGTGTTTGGAGACAACAAGAGCTTCACTGAAAGGCACACCAGACAGACATCGCGCTCTATTATGAGTGTATGGTAGTGATTCTGCTGAGATCAATGGTATAATAATAAGTATGTATCCCAAGGATACCCCCTGAATACGGCAATCAGCTTCCGTCCATTGCCTCTAGGTGATAATATACCATGTCACCACTAGCCGACAGACCACCACCCGCCTAGGTGACTAGGGAGGTATATATGTGGGCATTCTTCCAGGAGACCATCATGATGCCTCCTCTTTCTTGAAAAGACGTTCTTTATAGACAAATAAATAATTAATTAACACCATTACTTACATTTTTTAATCTTCTAGATCTCACAAATATGCCAAATATAGATTTCGATAAACACTTTTGGGTATTAAACGAAAACAAACCCCGCCTTAAAAAAATTTCATCATAATTATTAACAATTTAAATAAATTCAACCCAACACTTGCTGTTTCTTTGTACAATGACCCTCGGTATAGTAGTATAGCATACAATCTTATTAATTTCAATTTTTAGTAAAACAATATTTTTTTATTTAAAGAATATCATTTCAGTCATTTTAGATTTTCGCACACACACAACAACAGATTTTTTTTGGCAAATAAAAAATGCAGAAAACAGCTTGGCGCGAAAAATTCTAGCAGAATTTCTTTTCGCAGTCGGCAGAATTGACATCAACTGCACTTCCCATTTGAAATACACATGTTCGATACCCTAGCCCTTTACGGTATGACATACCAGCAATGTAAAAAGGTGTAGCTCCGTTGACGTCAACGAAGCTGGTTTGAAGTCAAAGCAGCGACTCGAATTAGGCGCGAAAACACGAAAATATCTGAGGCGAAGCATATACATCGAACGTTTAGCAAAGTTCTACACCGGCCAAATTTCAATGAGCGGCTTATTATTAGATAAAAGAAAACTTGCTTAAATGAAAACAAATTAATTTTATATTGTAAAATTCCACAAATTTAGCGAAAGTATTTTGTAAATTGTACAAAATATGGCGAAATTTTCAAGCCGTATTAAGCTGAAAAATTTTCGGTGGCGGCGGCTTTGACATTTTGTTCGGCGGCTAGTCTTAGTCGGCTTAAGCCGAAACGGCGCAAGTCTCTACAGCTGATTCACACTTAGCGGCAGTTTTGACATTTCTCAAACAGTGCTGGAAAGTTATTCTTATTTTAAAATACAACACTTTTGTTTAGCAAATCTCAGCACCTAATATATAAAATAGAACAAGAAAATGTGAGAATTAAAAAAGAACTGAAATAAATTACAAAATCTGTTTAAAATTAATAAATAAAATATTAATTTATTTACATTGTAAAGAATTTTTACTTATGTTTTACTTAAATTAAAATTTATTGCAAAGTCAGATTTAGTCAATTTTAAAACCTCTATGCGAACTTTGCAATTATTTTCATTCTGTCTTTTACTTCCTTTCTAAACAAACTGACATTTCTTTTTCGTAGATATTTGCTCATTGTTTTTCTTTCCCCTAGTCTTCTAAACAAACAACACATTTGGCATTTCCCAGAAGACCGTGAAAATTTCTTTTTTTTTGTGTGTATCTTAAATTTTTTATAAATTGAATACGACGGATACATAGAATATTGAATTTGTAGTGACAAACTTTTTATTTCCGGTGGTTAAAACCACCTTTAAATAAAATTTACTTTAGTTTACGTTCTACGCGTATCGAAAATGCAATAAATTTATTTTTTAAGAAACGAGAGAAGAAAGTTCCTGTAATTATAATTTAATTTATAAGGATCAACATTCCATTAAAGCTAAAACAAAAACATTCCAAAATGTTGCACAAATATTTCAAGTGAAAGTATCCGTCCATTTCGTTTCATTTTCTTTTTGAATAGAAAAGAAAAAAGGGAAGTAAGTACCTATATCATTAGAAAGTGATTGTTCAATACAATGACAACAATACAATTCAAGTAGGTTCTGTCAAGGCCAAGGGTCTTCCTTAATTACATGCGCCACACTCATCATTGTAATGATGATGGAGGTGACGTGTGTTTAAGAAAACTGATAAATTTATATTTAATGTACATTGTACATAATATGTGACGTCATTTAAAAGATAAATTCATTGTATGTACTAACAAATTGTATACATACATTTGTACATTCATATTAATTTATTGATACTAATGTACATACTATTAATGTTTGATAATTTCAGCTTGCTGTTTGTTGTTTTTATTAAATTTATTTTTATATTCTCGTTGCAGTTTTCTTCCACAGTACAACCAAAATACCAACCGTTAAAACATTTCAAGACATCGTCCTCCGTAAAATAAAAATAATATTCGCCAAAAGTAATAATAATGTCTGCCGTACCCGTAGAAAAGTCTAAACGTTTGGGACGTTGGTATTTCGGTGGTTTGGCCAGCGCTGGCGCTGCCTGTTGTACCCATCCCCTTGACTTGATCAAAGTCACCCTACAAACTCAACAGGGAAAATTGTCCGTAGTACAATTAACAGCTAAAGTGGTGAGAGAGCAGGGTGTATTTGCTCTCTATAATGGCTTGTCTGCCTCTGTCTTGCGTCAAATGACCTATTCCATGACACGTTTTGGCATTTATGAAGTGGGTAAGCCCTACATTAACACTGACACCTTCCTCGGCAAAATTACTTTGGCCGGTTTGGCTGGTACTTTCGGTGGTATTGTGGGTACCCCTGCTGATATGGTTAACGTCCGCATGCAAAACGATGTTAAATTGCCTCCAGAGCAGAGAAGAAAGTAAGTTAAGAAATAGCGGCTCACACTTATCAAACTTTTTATTTGTTTCCCCTTTTTCCTCTTTCAGTTACAAGAATGCTTTGGATGGTCTTATTAAGGTTTATCGCCATGAAGGTTTCAAACGTTTATTCTCAGGTGCTACTACTGCCACTGGAAGAGGTGTATTAATGACAATTGGTCAAGTTGCTTTCTATGATCAGGTAAGAGTTAAATACTTGATTATATCCAAACTACTATAATAAAATTCCAATAATTCTAGATTAAAACCATGCTTTTGGAGACTCCTCACTTTGATGATAATTTGGTTACACATTTCACCGCATCTTTGGCTGCCGGTGCTATTGCCACAACTTTAACACAACCTTTGGATGTGTTAAAGACTCGTATGATGAATGCCAAACCAGGCGAGTTTAAGGGTCTCTGGGATATTGTTAAATTCACAGCTCGTTTGGGTCCATTGGGCTTCTTCAAGGGCTATATTCCAGCCTTTGTGCGTTTAGGCCCACATACGATCATAACTTTCGTATTCCTTGAACAATTGCGTTTGAATTTTGGAGCTCTGCCACCCAGCAAACAATAAGTAGACAAAAATCACTACAAGGGATTTAGACTAAAACTAAAACAAACATATTTTCTAAATTCAGCAGGACAACAAATAATTTTTTATAGTTTTTCTTTTAAATAACGAACAAATTTTTGCATAAAAATGCTACTACTCTACTAATAGTTGTAATATTTTTTAGAGCAAATTTACAAAAGATAAATAACAAAACAAAAAAAAAAAAAACTCAAGCACACAAATTTTAAAATCAAACATATTTAATTGCTGTTAATTATTTGCATTTTTTGATAAAGTAATTTCGTAATTTGTTTTCTTATACGCAAATTTACATATATAAACAACTACATGTTTTCTTCTTTTTAAGTAATAATTAAACAGAAAGTTTTAACTATGTAATATTGTAATGATTGTAATGATTGTAATAACTGTAACTACATTTAACATTCCTGCTAATCAGAGTACTAATATGTTGTATGTGTTTTAGATTTATAAGATTTAGGAAAAAGTTTCAATGACAACTTTTATTTTGTATATACTTTAGAATTACAATTACATTTGCGCGCACATCATTTGATTTTTCTATTTTTTGTTAAAGCTTAAGAAAAATATCTTTATATTGCTACTTGTTGTCTATTTAGAAAAGTTTTATATGTTCATGTTTTTTATATAAATGTTTACTTACAAAACTATATGTGAAAATCTTCATTTTCAGTTAAAATATAGACTGCTTTTTTGAAAAATAAAAAAGCAAAAAAAAAGTGAATGAAGTTTGTTTTAATTTTAGAATGTTGAAAAAATGGAGAATACACCTATCGTAAGTACGAAATTTCATAAAGTCTACAGACCGATTTCAATTTTTTCTACAAATTTTATAGAAAGGTTTTGGAAGGTGACTTTATATGCGGGAAGGGTCAATTATGAACCGATACTCAAATTTTGTATATAGATTTTGTTTTGTATAGAACTTGTTTATACTCGTATCTTTTAATAAGTAAAACGTATTTTAATAAGCAAAATCATTTCCTGAAGGGAACCTAGGGCAAGGGACCTTATATGGGCGGTCGGGTCAAATATGGAACAAGCCTCATAAAATTTGGCATACGAAACTTATTTATGTCGAATTTCATCGCTATACTCGTATTTTGAAAACAGTTATGCCTGTTAATAAAGTTGCTTTTCGGGGGTCCATTTGTATGGGCGCTATCCGATCCGGACCGATATTGCCCTCTTTCAATACCAAACAAACCTTACCTATAAGGAATGTTTCTAACTTGCAGCTCTTTCCGTTCGGACTCTATCGTGCATTCAACAGACAGACATGGCTAAATCATCTAAGAATTTAATAATTTATACCCACCATCATTGATCATTGATGTTGGTTATAAAACATATAATATTATTATTGAAGACGATACCTATCATAATACGATTCAATTTTCAAACTTCAGGTACTAAATTTGAAGACCAGCTATTCGTTTTTAGACATTTTATTTTTTATATTCACGTCATATGGGAAGTGCCACACCCACTTGAAATTTCAAAACAAAAATGTAGCCTATTGTTAAAGAAATCGTTTAAAAATTTAGTAGAACAATTTTGTAGCTAGTACTGATTTTTTTTTACAGATTTTATACTTTTTACATTGCAAAACATAATACATAAAATGTAATTGAATGTAATTATAAGTAAATGATATTTCAATATTTGTTTCTGTGTAAGAAAAATAAATATTTCGATACTATTCTGTTATTTTTATCCAAATTTTTGTTCTAAAACTTTTATTCCGATTATAATTAAAAAATCATTAATATTGTATTCCACATGAAAAGCGAAAAACGGATAAATCGTTGGTATTTCGGTGGTATATCCAGTGCTACAGCAGTGGGTGTTACACATCCTCTGGACTTGATAAAAGTCCATTTGCAAACACAACAACTGCCCAAAAAGACGTTAGTTCAAACAATAAGTCATATTTATGCTGCAGGAGGTATGAAAGACTATCTATGGCACAAGCCTATAACTTTAATAACATTAACTATGTACTATAAAAGGTCTGAAAGGATTCTATCGCGGCATGTCAGCATCTCTAGTACGACAACTAACTTATACAACAACACGTTTTGGTATCTATGAATCGGGTAAACAATATATTGATGTCCGTAATATAGGTCAAACTTTGGCTTTAGCCATTACGGCCGGTGTTTGCGGGGGAGTAGTGGGTGTACCGACCGATATGGTGAATGTTCGTATGCAAAATGATTCAAAACTGCCTAAGGAAAAACAAAGAGGGTATTTAAATTGGATTATATAAGTAAAAGACATTAAGCAAATATTTTCCAAATAATCAAGGATTTCCTATTATGTATTAAAAAATATTTTGTTGATGTGATTAGTTCAATTTTTGCAAAATTATATTGATTTTTTCCCTTTGTCTTCTGAAGTTATAAACATGTGTTTGATGGATTGTATCGTGTGACAAAAGAAGAAGGCATTCAAGCACTTTTCAGAGGTGGTTCGGCGGCTGTCTCACGAGGTGTAATGATGACAATTGGACAAAATGTTGTCTATGATTATGTAGGAATTTTATTTTTATATTTTTGTATTAAATTATTAAATTTTTCTTTCCAGTTGAAACGTTTTCTTTTGAGTACAACATATTTTAAAGACAATTCTCCCACACATTTTCTTACCTCTCTCATATCGGGAGGAGTTGCAACTCTTTGTACTCAACCTCTGGATGTAATGAAAACCCGTCTTATGAATGCGAAACCCGGTCAATATTCTGGATTGCTGGCTGTAGCAAAAGATATAGCAAATGTTGGACCAATGGGATTTTTTAAAGGTTTTATTCCGGCTTTTGCTCGTATAGGTCCCCATACAATATTAACATTTCTTATGATGGAGCAATTGCGTTTACATTTTGGATATTTTCCCCCAAATACTTCGTCGTAGCTGCAATTTATATTTTTAATAAAATGTTTAGTTTGTATGGAGTTTTATTTCGTATATGAATACATATAAGAAATAAAATTCGATGTGAAAATAAACAGATTATTTTCGTTTCATTTTCAATTTATTCGAATTTCAATTAACGAACTTGGTAATTTTTTTAAAAATAATTTTTCCGCCAAAAATGTTTTAAATCTTTATTAATACGTTTTTCAAACTCCCTTCTTTTTTAATCAAATCAAAAATATGAAAACATCTTTTATTTGTGTAATTTTTATTATTAAATATATTGGATTTTTGTCCAGTTTTTGTTTCATTATTATGTATGTATGAATTAATATTATTTAAGTTTTTTTGTGCTTATAATTAGCAGACAAAAAATTTAAACTTAAAGTACGTGGGAACAAATAAATGTTTATTATTTAAATAAAATCTATTTTATTAAGGAGGGGAGTGTTATATGGAAAAGGCTGAGAATTTCAAACTAATAACGAATAATGTTGGTATTAATTAATGGACAATGAAACTGTGTTTGTGTATTTATTTGTTTTGTTTTATTAAAAACTAAGAACAAATTAAACAAAATAAAAATATAATAAAGAAAATAATAATAAAATTGTTTTAGTAATATATTAAATGAAGTTTTGTTTGTCGAATTAAAGTTGTCAACATAATACGAATTACAATCGAACAGCGCTAAAACGAACTCTAAAGGACCGAAATTTTTGTGATAAAATAAATATCAGTGCCAATAATTAATTGCATTCGCTACATCCATGTTCGACTGTATATAAAATAAATTAAAATTGAATTATTTTTATAAAATTGTGTAATGTAATATTAATATTTGAGTTTATTGTACATTTAAATAATTTAAATTGTGTATGTGTGTTTTTGTGTGTGATTAAACTGTATGTGCTAAAACAAAAATTATTTAAGTAAAAAATAAACAATCAAATTTCTAACTACTTAATTGAATATAAATAATATGAAATACACTGTCGAAAATTAAATGTAATAATATAATAAAAATATAGAGATGTAGATTATTAAATCAAGTTAAAATTGTTAATAAGAGAAGAAAATTGTAAGAAAGAAACCCTTATACCTATAGACCTTTTGCAGTAGGAGTTGAAAATATTAATAAATTAAATAAATCAAGTTAAAAGAAAAACAGTCATTAATAATTTTAACTTATCCATATAAAGGTTCCAGACCAAATTTTAACATTTGAAATTTTGTGTTTTTATTTTCTAGAAGCGGGTGGGCTAAAAAAGGACTGTTTGTTTATGAGAAATGGAAATAACAATTTAAATAATTTAGCTTTCGAAAGAATTGAGGAAATCAAACTTTTTTTTCATTTATAATTATTTTAGCTTAAGTCTAATTCGAAAAATGTCATTAACAATTAAATATATTTTCTATATAAACATAAAATTATTATTTTTAATTATATTATGTATTATTATATTGTATTAAATTATACTTCATTTCTGTTTACTAAAAACTACATATGTTTTCTTTTATATTTGTTTTGTCTCTTTTTCTTAACGAAACTAATTTTTCAATGTTGTTTTCTTTTTAATTCTGCTTTGTTGTTCTTGTTATTTTTTCTATAATTTTTTTTTTTTTTTTTTTTTTTAGGCGTAGGCATCTTATAAGAGAACCATCATTCATTTATCATTAATTAAATAATTTATTCAATTCTACTAAAAAGTCCTAGAATTGTAGTTTTTTTAGGTCCTGTAACAAGAAGACTGTATGTATGAATGTCAGTCAGTCAGTCGCATGTATGGATTCGAAATTGAATTCAAATTGTTTAATGTTTCTGATAATGAGAAGCAATTTTATATCTAGCATATAGTAAATGTGTTGAGCGCATCTATAAGTATCTCAAATTTCTGTTTTGAACATACAATTTAGAAATCAATGTTATTAAGGTGGAATTGAATTTTGCATTGATTACACAAATCAAGAGATTCTTGTATGTCAATTATTGCTCATGGAATTTGTATTGAAGTTTGTCTAGCTTAAGTCGTAAAATTTAAGTCTCCTATTTTGTCCAGTGTTTTGACGAGGTTGGAGAGATTAAACTCTTATTAAATTGTTCTTAAATTCTTAAAAGAAAGAGTTATTTCAAATAATAGAGATTTAACTTAAAAGCAAAAGTCTGTGGTGTGGTGTTTGAGAACAAGATAATAATGAATGCGTTGTGATTGAAGTAGGCTTTTCTTGTTTGATTTTCAAGTTCTTAGAACTTCATAATAAGTGAGCGTGTTTTGGGTGTGTGTTAGAGTGTGTATGTAGGAGAAAGAGAGTTGAAGAGTGTGGGGATGTGTCAGGCAGGGTGTTTATTGTTTTGTTTTCTTTCCTAGTGTACAAAATCTGTTAACAATAATCATCTAATTCTAAAAAGCCAACCAAGGATGGTGTAAAAGTGATTCCTTGGAGCGATCGCCATAATCATAGCACAGTTCTTCGCCGGCCTCAATGTCATCTTTGGCTATTAAAACTAAATGAGGTTTTTGTTTAACCACCACAACTTTGGTCATCAAGTTGCCATTGCGTGAATGATTAACTAAGCGTCCCAGTTTCCCGGTGTCCTCGGTGGCATCTATGCAATACTGCTGATTCTTATGTTTAAAATAGTACATGTAACAGCCGGCATTTTCATCTAAAGCGTAACGTTTTTCACGTTCGGCAGCCTCTGTGGTGGAGATCAAATCGCCCACATACTCGATGACAAATTCACCACGTTGAAAGCGTCGTTCGGCTATTATTCCACGTCCTTTGCCCTCGAAGTGTGCAATTTTTAGGCCCTCTGACCGTTCCTCTAGAATGGCCTGTTCCAGATTGCGCATCATTTCTTCTTTAACGGCAGTCTTTGTCTTGCGTACACTTCTGCGAACGGGGAAGAAATCGTTGATTTCACGATTTCCATTAGTAGCAGCCAAAGGTTGGGGAGCTTGATGTTTGAGAGGTGCATGTTGAGGCCTCTGAACTGTGTATTTTGTTTTGCTTTGTTGGCTTTTTTGTTTCCCTCCTCGATTGTTTGTAGCATTTTGTTGATTAGTTGGATGTTTAGCTGAATTTAAAATTGACTTTGACATGCCGTTCAGTATGTGAGGGTTAGATTTGTTGTCCGGCGCAGAAATGTTTGTAGCCATATTTTCACATTCCTGATCATGGTCATCAATATCATCCTCGTCATCATTGACCAAAACTACGACAGGGTCTTCGTCATCATCGTGTTCATGAACATAGTGTTTATCTTCCTGATTGGATTGTGTCTGCTGTTGCGGAAGCTGGTGTTCTTTTGTAGCCTGAGAAGGACTTGGATTCAGTCTTCTTCTTGTTTTACAAGCGGCAGCGGTAGTTATGATACCACCCCCCGTCGTAGCAGCGGCAACAGTTGATGTAGTCAAATGTCTTTGAGACTTGCGAGGAGAAAGAGCTGAGGCCATTTTTCTTGTGGAAGGAGAACCGGCCGGAGAAACTACACGAGGCGGAGCTTTAATCGGCGAACAACAAACAATACGATGTGGAGTGGCTGGCTTGCGTCTACGATTTCCTTGTGCCACGCCCGGTGCTGGGGAAGCTTGTACTGAGTCATCCAATGAGGCAGCAGTAGTACTTGTAAACGCCACACCACTATCACAGGAACTATTGTCATTTTCAGGCAACATCATTAGAGCATAATCATGACCATTTAACATTTCTATAGGTTTCTTTTCGTAGCCAAACGAGTCTCTCTTCGAGGGGGAAGCGTTTAGGGAAACAATTTGATTGAAACGTCCGTGCAAAACCGAGGCATTTAATGAAGTGGGTGAAGAAAATTTCGGCTCAACTTCCAGAGTTTTATTTATTTTTATTGAAGATGCTTGATTTGGGGACTTGTCAACATTGAGTGTTAGAACCGGCTCCTGTAAGAATATATTTTCGGTGGCACTTGTATTTGAACTACTGTGTGAAGATGAATGACTGTCAGCCCGTTGTGACGAACGATGATTGGTAAAATCAAAACCATTTGTCATTAATAAAGTCTCCTGGACTTGTTCAACTGGTGTCTCATCGGATATATCGGTGCGCTCACTGTCATTGGTGTCTTCGCTAAGGTCAAATATGAATTCTTGTGGAACAATAACATTGTCGAGACTGCGACGATTTATAATTGGTTGATGTTGTTGATGATGTTGGTTTTGCAATTGCTGTTGATACAATTGTTCTTGCTGATCACCGTGATCGTTATGATGATCATGTCCGTTTTGTTGGTGTTGGTGTTGTTGTTGCTGTGTGATGATTGCGTTGTAATTAACCATTTGTGGTGGTGTTACAGAGGCAGACAATGTGGGTTGTATAATCTTTTGAGGTTCTGGTGAATATTTGTTTGATTTATTATGTTGTTTGGCAGCTGCATTAGCTTTAAAAAAGTTCTCTATGGTGCGTGTTTGTGAGCGCGTTGCCAATGGAACACCTAAATTTAAAGATAAATGAAAATCTGTTAGATTCTTAATTTGAAAAGTTTTTAAAAACTATACAAAGTTATTGAGAATTTAAAGAGATTAAATATACTCTTACTGCTCCTTAAGTTTTATTTATTAGCTGCTAAACAGTAGAACTATTTTAAGACTTATAAATATGAAATTGAGGTTATGTTTTTAAGCATAATTAAGAATATTTCTAATTTGTTTGCTCCCTTTACTGAGTTTGACGATATTGTGTTTAAATACTAAATATTTTAAAATTGCATTAAAATTTTATTCGATCAATTAAATATCAACCCATAAATGGGGTCAGGCATATTAAGGGTGTAAATGAATAAATATTGAATAAGTCAAATAATAAAATATAAATAGGGATTACATACCAATAGTCTTGCCATTTATAGCGCCACGTTCACCCTTCATTTTATTAGGACTTGGTGATTTCATTTTGGGTTTTACTAATCCGTCATCTTCGCTAGCACCACTAACAAAACCATCATTACTGGAGGAATTCTCTTCAACTTTACAGTCTTTTCTCTTGGGACTTGCAAAATATTGATCTTCAAGTAGTTGGGCGTTTGTCAAGGCAACTGCTGATCCATTCTCCAACACACTATTGACCGCTGCTTTGGGAGCCACAGTAGCGCGCGTTCGTCGACGCACCATTTTTTGTGACTTTAAAGAGGACAAATTAAAGACAAAACAAATAGACACTCACATACACACAATTATTAAGGCAGTCAAAATCAGTCAACTGGTCAGCAAAACAACACGCGTTTTGATTAAATCCAGATAAATGTACAAAATTTTATCATTTAATTCATTAAATGGGGGATATGGTGCCGCTTGTTGAATTTTCACACTTCATGTATTTATTGTTCGGTTCTGCAGTTTTTCTTTTGTTTTTAATAATAATGGCCGACACTTGCGTAGGACTTATGATGAGCCACTATATAATTGTCTGTGATTTGGCCTTTCAACTTTTTTTATTTTTAAGATACAATGCGTTTGGTCACGTCTCTCAGCCACCGGGTTTCCTCTTTAATCTAGAATTATAAAAAATCACATTAAGATGGAATTCACTTTTTTTATTTTTTCACTTTAATATTTATTGTCTCCCATTTTTTTATTCGTTTTACAGAATAGCATTATTTTTTATTTAGCCTGACCTGCCTCGCATCTAACCGCACCAATCGTAACATACCCGTGTCAAAAAAACTGTAGTAGTAGCTGCAGAAGAGGAATATATATGAACGGAGAAAAAAATCTTCTGTTTTGAAGGTAATTTTTTCTATCGATGTAAACTCCGGCTAAACGGTTGTAGCAACTTTTAATTTATAAAATATTTGTAAAAAACGTTAAGGCAATTTAATTGGTATATAAATTTCAATTATTTTGTTGAGTTTTATTGTAAAATTTCCGCGCCGTTTTTATAACTACATTTTTTCTTTGAAGTAAATTTTCTGATTTTATTTTACTTGTGCTTCTTTTCGTTGTTTGTTGTTGTTCTTTTGATATAACAGCCAGAAAGAGACGAGCATATAGATAAGCGTTCTATTTTCATGCGAAGTGGAATGAGATGACTAGTAAGGTTGTTGACATATTCAACAATGAAAAATAAATGGTTGACTCTGAGACATATACAAAAGCTGAATGCTGTATTAATATAATTTTATTAATTTCTTTTAGTGATGATGATCCACCGATAACAAGTTATATTATTAGTGATGACACCAATTTATTTTGTAAAAAAAATATTTTTCGTAATTCCCATATGATGTACGAATTTTAGAACCTGTTTGGGGTTGGTTGTTGGTTGAGCGATGGTTGGTGGGGCAGCGAGCAGGTGGAGGGTGGACGGTTTGTTGTTGGTGGGTTGGGGCGTGGTTTCAATTATATATGACCCCTCACCCCACTGCTTTTTGGTGTTTGGTGAATTTTACAAAACGAGGTGAGTTTGAATTTGAAAATCGTGGTGAATTTAAGATAAAAAGTGAATTTTAAAAATCGTGGTGAATTTTAAAAATTGTGGTAATTTTAAAAATAGTGGTGAATTTTAAAAATTGTGGTAATTTTAAAAATAGTGGTAATTTTAAAAACATTGGTGAATTTAAAAATCATGGTGAATTTTAAAAATCATGTTGAATTTTTTAAAATCGTGGTGAATTTTAAAAATCGTGGTGAATTTTAAAATCGTGTTGTATTTTAATATCATGATTAATTTTTAAAATCGTGGAGAATTTTAAATTCGTGGTGTATTTTAAAAATCGTGGTGAATTTTAGAGATTGTGATGAATTTTAAAATCGTGGTGAATTTTAAAAGTCGTGGTGAATTTTAAAAATTGTGGTAATTTTAAAAACATTGGTGAATTTTAAAAATCATGGTGAATTTTAAAATCGTGGTGAATTTTAAAAATCGTGGTGAATTTTAAAATCGTGTTGAATTTTAATATCATGATTAATTTTTAAAATCGTGGAGAATTTTAAATTCGTGGTGTATTTTAAAAATCGTGGTGAATTTTAAAAATCGTGGTGAATTTTAGAGATTGTGGTGAATTTTAAAATCGTGGTGAATTTTAAAAGTCGTGGTGAATTTTAAAAATTGTGGTTAATTTAAAAATCGAGGTGATATTTAAAAATCATCGTAAATTTACTACCGTAGCAAATTTCAAAAAATCGCCATGAATTTGAAAATCGTGGTGAATATTTTTCAAGGTCATTGTAATTGTGGTTCCTAAATGTATGCTCTTTTTCCGAATTTTTAAAACAGGAAATCCTCCAAAGTATTATGACAATGCTGTGGTGGTAAGGCAATGGAATATTTTTAAAACAGAAACAAAGAAATTAAAATATGTAATACAATTACATATTGCGTTTGGAGAACCAAAAAGACTCAATTTGATATTGAATAATTGGTGTTGGCGTTATAATTTTTCGATTCGGCCAAGAAGTCTTAGATGCAGATGCAGCTAAGCAAACTTAAAGTACAGACAAACAATACTAAAATCTATCGAAATTGATAAAAATTTCTCAATAGTTAAAATATTTACTATAAAATCGTATAAATACAAACATGTATATTATATACATGGAAAATAGCTTTGACGATTTAATGACGATTTCGAAAAATCAGTTGACGATTTTTCCCTCGAAATTTGACGATTTTACACCCAAGTCATCTGGCAACTGTGCCTCCAATACATCGTTAAGCGCACACGATATTTTCGGTGACTTTTAATCCCATACAAATTGTACTAATTTTCAATTTTCATTTAGCTATCTAAAATTCCGCAGCAAAACCCTTTTTTCCCTGTGTTATTAAGAGAAATAAAAAATTTTTTTATATCCTTCACCTTCGTGAGAAGAGTATATATAAGTTTGTCATTCCGTTTGTAATTTCCAAAATATAATTTTCCGACCCCATAAAGTTTATACCTATATTCTGAATCCTTATAGATAGCGGAGTCAATTAAGCCATGTCCGTCTGTCTGTCTGTTGAAATCAGTTTTCTGAAGACCCCAGATATCTTCGGGATCCAAATATTCAATAATTCTATCAGACATGCTTTCGAGAAGTTTCCTATTTAAAATCAGCAAAATCCGTTCATAAACAACGGAGATATAAGCAAAAATCCGAGACAACCTCTGAAAATTTCATAAAAAATAAACAACAACAACACTGCTTATTCATTGCCTTTGTATTTTGTTTTTTTGAGTATTTCGTTTCGTATGTTTGGATGGCTGTGTGTTTCATTGCCTTGTGTATATTGTTTTTGTTTCTTGGTACATTCAATTTCGTATGTTTGGATGTCTGTTGGTTTCATTGCGTTGTGTATTTTGTTTTTGTTTTTTTCTGTATTTCGTTTCGTATGTTTGGATGGCTGCTGGTTTTACTGCTTGTGTATTTTTTTTGTGTGTTTATTTCGTTTAGCGTTGTTGTTGTTAATTGCTATTGCTATAATAATGATATAGTCAGGAAAATGAATTTTTAAATACACTATGGTGAAGGGTATATAAGATTCGGCGCAGCCGAATATAGCACTCTTACTTGTTTAGTTAAAATTATTTGTTCTTACTTTAAAAAACACGACCGACCGAGTATTTTGAGTGTGAGCATGTAATCTCATTCAAATAACACACATGGGCAATTCCATACGATTGTATGTAACGTTCGTACGCCTTTAGAGTTGTATAGATTTTGTAAAAATAGGAGTACTTGGAAAACAATTTTGTCATTCTGTTCCATTCAAAGAATACTATATTTGTAAAAGTAATCAATCGTCCCATTCGGAACCTTGATGACAAAAAACGTAAGTGTTTTTATAGTACATGTATATATTTACCAAAATCTGCGAATTCTGTAGATGTATCTTTTTGTTTTAATTTCTTACACTGGGACATATTTTTCATTCGTAATCCATAATTTTTAAATAAAAAAATCAATTTTATTTTATAATGAACATTTTTGAATATCGTATGAAACAGATTTTTGTCCTGAATTTTTTTAGGTTATTAAATATACATATATTTTGGAAATATATGTATACACTTCCTTGTACAACTATCCATGAAAAGATACAGTAGAATATTTGTATCCATCTGCGAAATTCCTGTGAACTGTATTGAAGAATTTTATCCAGTTTGTTTTCCTGGGATCCCATTTTCTACAAAACTACATTAAATTTAAAAAATCTTTGTTTTGTAATAAAATTAGGAGATTATTTATTATAGTTTATTCCAATTCAAAATTTTATCTCAATTGGTCAATTAGTCAACGATTTTCTGGATCTAACTTTTGCAATAAATAAATGTTTAAACATAATAAATCCCTTTAACAAATTTTATATATACACCACTATAGTGGGGAGGGTCCTACCTACACCTTCCATATAAAAGATGTTTAAAATCGGTCTATTATACAACCGGGCAATCAAATAATGCTTAAGAGCTCGTTACTTTTTAAAAGAAGTAGCATTTATACAAAAATCGGCAGATCTAAATTTATATGACCCTAAAACTTACAGCCGATTTTTGAAAAGGTCGAATGTATTTGACGCTAAGCATCCATACAAAGTAATTATAATTCTCTTATAAACACTTGTATTGTGTAAAAATTTAAAACAGAACTGGTTCCAAAATCGTTATTTAAAACGCTTTCACAAACGAGTACAAGTGCTATCTATAATCATGCATTCTACTAAGTTTACAACGACAATATATTTTGACTAATCAGTTGTTAATTGAAACAAATTAAACGTCTTATTTGTTATTTGAAATGTGGCTATTTAACAGAACATTTACTCGAAAAAAAGTTTACATTTGATCGGTTTACGAAGGGCGGTTAGTCGCTTGATAATTAACAAAATTCCGCGAGAAACACAGAAGCTAGTTTTTCTTATATCCTATTTATTTATTTATTATGATTCTAAAAAAATAAATTTTTCACTTACGTACCCATACGAAAAAATACAACACTATGTTTGCAATGACAATCAACCCTGTATTTAAAACAGCTGTACAGGAAACCAAAGAGAAAATGTAAACAATAATTTAAGAGAACTTAAATAAACAAACTACGACTACTGCTGCTCTGTGAGTGTGTGTTGGTGATAATATGCAAAAATTGGTTAAAAGCAAAATAAAAACAAGTTAACAAACACACAAACAAAAACCAGTTTTCAACCATTAAACCAAATAATCAAAAACAGTCGACGGTTGAATGTGTAACGGTGCGGTTCGTGCGAATTACGTTAAAGTTAAACGCGGCGGAAGTCGTGTTTGTTTGTGTGTGTTTGTATGTAAAGAAATTCTAATTCAAATACAAGAAAAATAATAATAAAAAGAAATAAATAAATATCATATAAATAAATTTGAAAATAAGCGAAATAGTAATTGAAATCGAATAAAAAGTATTAATTATAATCACTTGTATATGTAAAATAATTAATTTAGCCCTTAATAATAAATTGTATTGTAGTAAATCAATCAAAAGTATCTCTTACAAAATAAATTAAGAAATTAATGCAAAAAATTAAATTTAAAAATATTTATTAAAAGTTCAATAAGAAGAAGCGAAAAAAGTAATTTTTTGTGTCGTTGTATTTCTTCTTCTCTAGTATAAAAAGTGGCAGCGAGCGAATACCAGAGTGTTTGCGTGCCCGTGCCTACACACAGATACTCACTCGTACATCTAAACTGGGTTTTTTGTTGGCGTACGTGTGTATGTGTATGAGCAAGTGAGTGTACAAAAAAATTTAAGGTAAAAGAATAAAATACAACAACAATAATAATAATAAAAGTGTAGAAGAATGTGAGTGTGTTTTGTTTTAATAAAAAACTGGTTTAGTTAGAAGACAACTACAAGAATACGGCTGAGAAACCAACAAAAATAACAACACGGGTAACATGGTTAGGAGTCGAGAATGAATATAGAAGTTATTAGTAGTAACAGCAACAACAACAGCAATAAGAATAGAAACAAACAAACAAAAAAGGTGAGTTCATAAGCCAAAAAATCATTCTGCCAACTTTTGAGTTTAAAGGCCTCCACTCGGCAGTCATTGAAACAACGGCTTCCACTTTTATTTTGAATAGATTTTCTGTTGCGTTTTATGGTATTTTTGGTGTTTTTAAGAAGATTTCTCAAAAAAAGTAATTTAGAAACTAAATTGAATTTGTCAATCAGTTTATAACAATTTAAAAATATTTACGTACATTAATAAGCATCGTTTGAGAGGTATTCCTACAAAAAAGTGGTCCACGGACATCCTACCCTTCACTTTTATCAAAAGATATGTAGGTAGTAAAGTCAATATAGAGACGTCTGTCTCTGCGTATATTTATTGAAAAAAATGCATCATCCAATTTATCATTTCGAAACTTTTCCTAATTTTAAAATTCTGAAAAGACCCATGACTTCATCGGATTATATTATACAATTTTAAGTATTTCAAAAATGTACATATTTGTTCTTGTTGCTTATTATTAAGCCATGTTTTGGGATGATCGTGGGTTTCTTCGAAAAAAATCAAATAAAATTTGATCTAGATTGAATTTTGAAAAACGGAAAACCCTAGAAAATTTATGATACGCCATTAAAAGCTCCTCTCAAATCATCTCATATGATTTTTTTCTGATATTCACATGAAAAAGAGTTCCTGAATGGAACCTTATATAGGGGCTAAGGTCGGTTATAGAATAATTCTTATTAAATTTGGGATGAAGTATAACCTTTTTTATGCAGATTCGCAGTACTCGTAATTTTCTGAATTCTCCTCATCAAATTTTCTGAAGAGGACCATATATGAGGTGTAGGGTCAATTATTGACAGATCCTTATAACATTTTATATACCGATTTTGGTTCATATAAAACTTGTTCACATTGAATATCATCGCTGTAATCGTATTTTTGTGCCTGTAATTAGCGTTAACGTTATTTTCTGAAGGGGGCTTATATGGGGGGTGGGGTGAGTTACCGACACATTCCGCATGAAATTCGGTAGTAAGATTAACGTTCGTATAAAACTTTCTTATGTCCAATTTCATAACTGTACTTCATAACTCGTATTTTTAAGCCAGCAATGATCGTTTAAGTAATATTCTGAAGGGACTTCATATGGCGGGTAGGGTCAATTATGGACCGATCCTCACCAAATTTGGTAAAGAGATTTTGGCTCATATAAAACTAATTTTTGTTTACTCGTAGTTTTAAGCCAGTAATGAGTGTTAAAGTAATTTTCTGAAGGGGACTTTATGTGAAGGGTAGGGCCAATTATGGGCCGATCGTCAAACAAATTAGTATAGATGTTTTGGCTTGCATAAAACTTTTGTGTGTGGAACATCATCGCTATATTCGTACTTTTAGGCCAGCAATGAGCGTTATAGTAATTTTTTGAGGGGGACCTTATATGTGGGGTAGGGTCAATTGTGGATCAATCCTTGTAAACTTAGTTGGATAGACTTTGGCTCATATGAAACTTATTTATGTCGCAATACACGTACTCTTAAATGAGTTATTCTCGTTAAGGCTATTTTTCGGGGGTCCACATTTATGGGGGTTATCAGAAATGATGGTGGATATAAAAATGAAATAATCTTAACAAATTTGACCCAGCTCACCAAATATTGCATTAATTCTAAGATACAATTTAAGAAATGGTATCTTAGAATAAACTAAGCATTCCCCATACAAGCGGAGCCACCCCACAGTATGAACATATATTTCAGATAACTTTTTTGAAGATTTTGCTCATTTCTCTGCCCTTACAAAGTTTAAGACGTTAAATACACAAGACTTTCCGGGTGAAGCCAAACTTTTCTAAAAATTTTCTTTTGATAAGGTTCGGAACATCCACGTACCATAAATTGCCTTCATTAGTTATTTAGTTTGAAAGGAGGATTCGAAGAAATACATCTATTGGCAGCTCACAACCCCGTAATTATGTATGTGTCCAAAATTTATAAAAATAATATAAATCGATAAGCAAATTAAAAACGAAATATTAATTCAAATTCAGTTTACTTTTAAATTGTTAAAATCACATTTTCTAATTAGACTTACATAAATTTTCAAATTAGTTTGCAAATACATCAGAATCGGAAAAATATTGGTCTCAAATATTGTGTTAATTTGAAAACGTTTGCGTTTGAAGTCCTTTCAAGTCATTTTTTCTAACTAAAATTTCTCATACGTACCGCCTAAGTAAAATAAATTTTAAAGTAGGCGTGGCAAGATAATTGCGAATTATGCTTGAGGTTGTCTAAAATTCGACTCTAATATTTATATTTGTATCCCTTTGTTGATAGTCTTAAAATTAAACTATTCTTAACAACAACGACTACACTCTCTACCCGCGTTTTCAAGGTAGAGTGGAGTCAAGTTTTTTTCATTTATTTTATTTCATTTTTATATACAATTTATTTTATTTTTTATTCTTGGTTGTCGTTTTATTTGGCCATGTTTGTTGATGTTCATTTTATAAGTATTTCTATGGTTAGAAGTCAATGTGAGGTGTAAGTGAGTTCAATTGGGGGCCAACGTTAAAGGTCGCTAACGACAAAGAGACAGAGAAACGGGCAGACAGACAGTCAGTCTTTGATATAAAACGCGAATTGTCAGGATAGCAAAATTCTCTCACTAGTCAGTCACACAAACATACACTTACATACATATGTATACATTCATACATACATACATATGTAGTATACAGTTTATTAACCATTTATGGTCTCATCATTTTAGAACTTGTTGGCTTCCAGTTTGATTTGATGTTTGGTTGTATGATGACGATGATGGTGTTGTTGATGGCATTGGAGTGTGTGTGAGAGCTTGAATCTGTGTGTGTGTATGTACACATACATAAATATAAATATGTGTGTCTATTCCTTTTATTGACAGTACTTGAATCCAATTAGGAAGAAAATTGAATTTCACGCAAATTTCCAATTGGAAAATATTGTATATTGTTCTATGGTGTTTGTTGTTTATTTATTGTTTAGTGTTTAGGGTTTTGTGTTCATTTTAACACTAATCGAGTTTCGCGCAATTTGGCCACAAAAAACAACATCATTATTAACACCATCATCATCTTTGTCATCACCAAAAAACAATAACAAAAACAGCTACAAGAAATATCATCATTGTAATGGATACGTTTGGTCTTCTGATTACAAATAAACACCATGTAGACATCACTAACTGACACAGTTGGGGAAAAATAAACAACATGAACTATGTATCGAATTAATAGAAGAACTTAAGTAGGTACATGAATGTTGATTAAATAGACTCATAGAAAAAAATCTGAAAATATATCTTGTTTTGATTTGATAAATATTATAAAGGAAGCACTATTTTACAAGTTTTTTAATGCTTTCCAAATTTGATTAATTCATTGAATTAAGTTTAATAACGAAAACAACACGGTTTTGGTCGGAACTACAGTGTTGTTTTCGATGGTCTTTTTTTGAACTTTAGAGAATGACTAATTTCTAATAACAGTTAAGTTTTTTGTTGATTTTTTCTTATTTTTAAACTATTTATTGACCTTTTTGAGATTTTGAGAGGAGTAAGGTCAATTATGGACCGATTCTTAAGTAAGTTGGAAATTGATAAAAAAAACTGAACCAATATTTCTCATTTTCAATACCACACAAACTGCTTTAAGACATCAATATATTACAGCCTGCTACAGCTCCCTCAGATTGCGAACAGAGGGACCTACGCTAGATCATCTTAAAATCTAACAATGATCCATATGTATACATTTTTTTTAAAGGGGGAAAAATTCATAAAAACCTCAAATAGGACCTTTTATTTATAAAAAATATTGGGGCCACCCTAATGAACATACCCCCTTTGATGGTGGATATAACAATTACCTGCTAAATAAGATTTTAACTAATTGTGTAATAAAACTCAATTGGCAATAAAGTATTTTTACAAAATTAATTAAATATTTTTATAGATTTTTCGTTTTTCTTTTGTTCACTTTTAACTTAATTAAAATTTCGTTCTAAAACTTTCGTTCCAAAAGATCTTTTGGTTACGCTTTTCTTCTTGTCATTTTGTTTTAACTTGTTTGTGTTTCTTACATTTTTTTTCAAAATTAATCACACCAATAATATTAAGTTGAGAATGATAGCAGAGACCGAACGAAGGCAGTTATTATGAGTGTCTTATTCGGAATTCATGCATGTAGTATTTTGTGTTTTCATTTTATTTTATTTTGTGGAGAGCAGTTTACCTTCAAACCTAGATAAATATGTATATGCTTGTCTAAATAGTTGTGGTATTAAGTATGTAGATACATTTGTATCTATAAACAAATATAAACATGTACTATGTATCTTTTGTGGGTATTTTACATTTATTTATTTGTATCTACTTAGATTTTGCATTGTCATACGTAAAAGCCCAATAATTGTGGTCGGTGTCAAAAGTAGAAAAAATATTTTCTTTGTGCTGTAATAATAAAAAAGGTTTAGCTAGAATTTCGTGAAATTTGCTAAAATATCTAAATATATACATATTTTATTGTATACGTTTTGGCTATTGTTATCTCATAATACAGCACAAACAAATGTTACTTATATGTAGACAAATTTGTATTTAAATCTTGTGTTGTTTGTCTGACATGGATGGTTGACTTAAAACAACTTATTTTTTCTTGTTTTTGTTCATCATCAACGTCTTTTTCTACTTCATCTTTAGCTGTGTCTTATATATTTTCGTTCAATCATCAAACCATCCATGCATCTATTCATCCAGTATTTTTTCATATTCATACATTTCTAGATACAAACATTCATTCATATCATACAATATTCATATAAACATAGATTCATAGATACAATATTCATACATACATACATATTTAAGTCTGTATACATTTCTTATTGTTATTTCTTAGATTAATGTACATATATATGCATGTACGTACGAATGTGTGTCTTTTCTTACAATTGTTTTCATTATTCTACTGCAGATACAGA